CACATGTATAGTGTGTGTTATTATGAATCTATAATTGTAGTTCTTACCACGCAATACGTTTAATCCGTCAAGACTAACATGTAGTCACTTGCAAGACTAATGCAATGTTTTTTTTACAAAGTAGTTCAGTGGCTGATTCTTATTCAACAGGGTAAGGTTCTTTGTTGGACCCTGGGTCTTCCTGAAGAGGAGCAGCAGCAGCAAGAGGAGACAGAAGCCCCAGCACCACAACAACAAGGTATTGTTGCTATATAGCTATGTATAGTGAGTGATAGGAAACTTTTTTTTATTTCAAAGCTTTATAACTTAAAAAAACATTACTTAAGAGAATGACACTGCCTGGCCAAAAATTTAAAAAAAAATCACCACCTGGATTTAACTAAGGTCTATGATGTGGGGTTGCTGCAGTTGGTCAGGTTTAGGTTCAGCAACAGTTTGTGCTCAAAGAATGAGGTCAGCTGACCATAATATACTGAATGACCAGGTTATTCAATCTATTGATTGTTTCTTCCCTGAGGGAACAGGCATATTCCAACAATGCCAGGATTCAGGGAGCATGAAGCAGTGATGTTGATGTGCTGGAGAAGGCTTTGTGCAGCAGTGAGACTCTACCATCATCAATGCAAAATCTTAGTGGAAACTTAATGCAACACTGGATGGAAATAAATCTTGTGATGTTGCAGAAGCTTATCAAAACAATGCCACAGGGAATGTGTGCCGTAATCAAAGCTAAACGAGGTCCAACGAAATATTAGTGTGACCTTTGTTTTTGTTTGTTTTTTGGTGGTGATTTTTTAATTTTTATTTTATTTAAAAAAAAATGTTTTTTGGCCAGGCAGTGTATATTGATGCTGTTTTCTATTTAAGGTAACCAAGAAATTGAAGACCTGGAGATAGGCGATGAAGAGCTGATGGCCAGTCTGGAGGATCAAGGTGAGGTCGAAYTGCTTCAGGTTAGACCACCTCGAGACAGCGGCTATGAGACCCTACAGGAGACCTCAGTTCAGTCTTCGAGAGACTTTTCTGCTAGAAACCTTGTCTCATCCAGGTCAGTGGWTAAAAAATAAATAAAAAAATTACTGTCCTCACATTTGGATTGCATCTCAGCTGACCTTGTCATTGTGATATTATTCAACAATAACATTGTAATAGTGTAGAAAGTTTTGATTTGTTTTACAGTGTATTGTTCAGCCATATATTAGTGCCGTAGTTCTGTCATGTATTTTCTTTGAGCTGTGCTCAGTCAGTTTGTAWTCACATTTGTTGACAAATGAACCTTTTACCTTTGAACAAAACGAGTAGTGTGCAATTAAATCAATGCTTRCCAACTTAGTTGTGGAATTAAACAAAATTTTAATGTATGACATTTTTTATGACACTAAATCCTTTAATCCTGCTGGCTTTGTATTTCAGAAGTCAAGCCTCCACTTCATCTCACAGAAGTTTTCTGACCCAAAGCAACAGAGTTGGTTCAGTCCAAGTCCGTTCCATTGGTGGCGAACAAGACTCTGAACCTGTTGAGTTTATGCAATCTGATCCAACTCATCAAAACAGCCATGAGGACAACCTGGCAGGGGCTGAATTTTTCGATGAAGACTTTGATGATCTTCCCCTGGATGAGTTAGATAGTATTATTTTACAAGAAAGCAATARTGCACAGTCTAAAAGCAGTCATGGGGACACAACAAGAAACTCCATCACTGTGAAAGGAACAATAAGATCTCAAACTGCTCAGGTTAAACCACGCYCTTTAAGCGATTCCGGGACATTCAAAGGATTGGGCCACTCCARATCCACCACAGTAAAAAGAGACCATCGAGGTCTCACCAGAGATGCGTCGGGCCTGATGAAAATGGCAACATCAAAGCCTTTTGTCTCCTCAACAGTTTCAGCGCCGTCTCATGAATTACAGTTTGCTAGTAATGAGGAGYGCGATTTTACGGATGAGGTCATAGACTGTTTCTTTCAAGAGGATGAAGACGGTGCGGCAGAGCCTGAGAGAACCCGAGGAATGACTCCGTTCCCTTCTGAAGAACAAGCTAACAAAACAGATGTTTCAGGTTTGTTTAACAAATCAACAAAAACCGACACGCCTCAAGGAAAACCTCACACAGCAGAACCTAACAGAGTATCTTCACAGAGTGACAGTGACGCCCCTGCAGTCACTCTGACCTCGGCACCTTTTACGTATTTGTGCTTGCTAGAAGGGCCGATGCGTAAACCMCAACCCCACGCCGTTGAAATTCAGGTCAAAGCGTTCATCGTGACTCTCCTCGGGAAGCTGAGCAGCAGCGACGGCYTTTGGAGCGTCCGCGCGACGATATCCGATGGAACCGGCTACCTGGATGTGGAGTTATCCGACGAGGTTTTGACGGGTCTGCTGGGCTTCTCGGTCGCAGAGAAGACGGCTCTGAAGCGCGACCCGGCCCGCAGAGGCGAGCTGGACTCCGGGATGAAGAGGTGTCAGGAACAGCTGGTGGACATGTGCTGCATCATGACCATCGTGGTGAAACCAAACAAAGGGGGCGCCGTCGTGGCCAAGGCCGAACCCGTCAGCGACAGAGTATTCCAGGAGCTGGGACAGAGGYTGAGACGTGAGAGAAAATGAACTCGGAGGTAGGCAGAAATGGGGGGAAATTACCTGTAATGGAAAAGTACGTTACCCTTAAGCAGAGAGGAAAACCTGCCAATAAAAACGTGATTATAATTGGCGATCCACCTGTCCTTCTGCTTCAGTTTTGGGGAGCAGAAMGTGTGAACTGGAGGTCTGATGATCTTGTGTTGCCATCTGCTACATGTGAATGTGCCATTCTGCTGTTTGTCATTAAAGGAATTAATTAATGTATTTATTGTTTTATTAGATGGTTAAAACCCACTGCATCAGTTGCAGCTTAATAAAACTGTGGCAAAGCTGTAACAAAATGCTGATTTATTAAAAACGATGCATTACGAACGCATTAAATCAGTCAACCCCGAGTTGGAAAACACACATTCTTTGTAACACTGAAGGGTTGAGATGAGAGCACGGAGACGGGGGTCTTCATATTCAGATTGTGGTAATGAATTGCCAGTCTTTGCATCCATTCAGCACAACCACTTTTTACTGAAAAGTGATTGAATAGCCAAGGGCAGCGTGGGTCTTTAATAAACTTCCCCAGAGGAGAACGAAATGAAAGGAAGATAAATGAGATGCCACAAGCTTTGATTTTATTTTATTTTATCTTCCTTTATGGAACCTGGTTCATGTTTTGTTTTTAAATGTTTTAATTTGTTTGTGGGTTATTTTTTTAACATTGAATTAAATTCTTTCAAGTTTTACATATTGTTTTTTTATGCTGTTTTTTCCCCCCCTCAGCTGAGTCTGTTCAAAGAGCTACCTGCAACAGGTAAGATGCTATTTTCCACAGAACCACACTAACCAGAACAAATCTCATTAAATCAACTGACGGAGGACCTTATATTTTCAATACCAGCCATTTAAAAATAAAGGTCCATTGTAGACGATCCACCTCATTTCTTGGATTTGGGGGTCTTGCTCTAAGCTTTGTAAAYGCTTTGAAAGGCTCAATCAACTGCGCCACATGCTAAAAGATCCTTGTCACCATGGTTACTTACATTAACAGATGTTAAAAAGTGCCTTGTTGTACCACTTAGGCAGCATTCAAACAAGCATGTGAAATAAAAAAAAAATATTAAGGAAGACTCATAAATTTCAGTGACAGCTGGTGTGCAGAGACAACTGTTGCTCATACAGTATACTGAAACCGTCCACATGTCGGCTAATATATGATGTTTTAGCTCTGRAGGGTGGTGGAACCTCTCACATGCATTTATTTTTTCTCTCCCATCTGGTATGTTTGTTTCTTACACTGACGTGAGGTATATTAATGAGCAGAACTATGTCTACTAAAGGTCATAACGTAGGCTACATTAGATCCTGTGACTTGTTTACATTTCTTCTGTTCCACGTGTTGGTTATTACCTTACACCACAGTGTGSGCTTCCATTCAGGTAACCGCTCTCAGTTCATTAGAGGCTAATCAAGTTGAACATCTAAATCACGTTCCTGCCATGCATGTTGATAACCTGTTAGGTGCTAATGAAGCAGAATACGGCGAATGGGCTGGACGAGAAAGGAGAAAGAAGGAACCCACAGGGAGAAACAAGTGGAATAAATAATGGGTGATAGAGTAAATGAAATGAGAGGGGGTTYATGCAACATGTTATCCCAGCATGTCGAATAACTTGAAAATTGGCAGTATTTGTCAAAACTCCCATCACTTTGCAAAAGTTGAATTATTTTAAGCCCTCATTTTTTTCATTCCTATTTTATTTTTCTTATAAATTGGATTTTAAAAATGATTACTAAATGTAACAAAAAATCTATTTCTGTTTATTGAGAACATATTTGTTTTTACAGCTTTTGTTAATAAATTAACATTTGGAATGTTTATAGACTCTTGAGTCTACGGAAGCCAATAAATGACATGCTTACATTTCTTTTTTTTTCATAGTTTGACCTCGAGATAACAGATATTTATACTGTATTTATTTTGTATGCCATCTAAGTAAACCTTGACTTGTTGTGCTAACTAAAAAAACATTTTAAATTCTAAAATAAAAAAAACAGTTATTCAGATATCAGGATGTCATGCTGGCATGTAAAAAAGAAGCTGAACATTTTCAGGTTTTTTTTTTTTTTTTTTG